CCAATCAACGGGGCGGGAGGGGGGCGGGAGGAAACGGCGCGGGAAGAAAGCAAGCGAGAAGAGACCGACCGCGTGACGTGACATGTTGCGGTTGAATTTCAGCGACTAGTTTTTCTGTTGCCCTCTCCCCCGTTTGCTGTCGCGTTCAGACTGTCTATACGGATATCCCTGTCTCTGTGCGAGTTTGTTTATGTTCTCGTCTGTCTTTGGTTTATTTCGTTTTATTTTGTTTTGTTGTTTTACTTGCATATACTGCTGACCCTTGGGGTCCTTCCGGAAGGCTACCCCCCAGGCTGGTGGTGCGCACGTTGCACTATTTATTTATTTGTTTCTGATTCTTTTGTTTTCTTGTATTTTATCGCTCTGCTAACCCTTGGGGTCCATTTTATTTTGGTATACCTTTTCTAGGTACGTTAGCCTGTGACCACGGAAATTGACCGAGTCAAGTGCTGGATTAGTACGGAGAGATTGCGACAGAAGGAGGTACTGGATAGAGAGGCCGGGATGGTTTTTCATGTGAAGACAACAACAACAACAACAACAACAACAACTTTCACACGGTTGACGGCCAGGCCACCCTCCGATTGCCCAGGTTGCGCGTCAGTAGAGCCTGGCACAGGATTTTTTGGCGCTCTTTCAGGTGGTTGAGTGGGGCACGGCAGAGCTTGAAAAGTGTTTGACTCCTGTTGGGTACTGTATGCCCCAAAGACGGCCCTTGAGAAGGGACGGCTGTCCAGTGTTTTCGGTTTTCTTCAACACTGTCGGCAATGGCAATAATCGTCGCCGAAATCCCTGTTATGCTTTCCGGCGATCTGTTTTCGAGTTTCGATGTTTACGTGTGCATAGAATCATTGCTGGCTTCCTTTCTCACTTGTCGAGGTCACTACATAGTTTCGCCGAGTATGACCGGGGACACAAGGCCGTCTGAAAGACGCACCCCTCTTCGTGTCCTGTGCATCTGAGGGGTGCTGGCGCCACGAACATGTTCCGCCTCAGCTGACTCCATCAATCCGACTTCCCTTGTTGTGTTTTTTCCCTCAGTTTCGGAACACTTCTCAGGTGGCGGGCAAACCCCTTGAACCACTGCCAGACGGGGGCTCGCGACGAAGCGGGGGGAAGCCTCTCTGATCCAGGAAGCACACGTAGACTGCGGCTACTCAAGGTATCCGCAGCACCGGTGACCCAGCGATGCCCTTCAACTATCTGCACGATGCTGCGTTAAAAGGCTCTGCCAAGCTCACAGAAGCCCTGCTTGCGACGGCGGCGTTGGACATCAACGAACGCACAGAAGATGGGTTCACCCCGCTTGACGTTGCAGCTCAAGAGGGTCACCACCGGGTCGCCAGGATCCTATTGGGGCACAACGCTAGCGTAACTGTGGCATCGGAGAACGGGTGGACTCCCCTCATGCTGTCCGCCCAGAACGGACACGTTGTCATGACCAAGTTGCTAATCGATGCTGGTTCCGACGTGAACGCCGCTACTGCTGAAGGCATCACGAGCCTTCACCAAGCCGCTGATGAGGGGCATTCGGAGATATTGTCGATGCTCGTGAAGGCTGGTGCGAACCCCGATACCCGCGCGCACACCGGAAGCACCCCGCTGTACGACGCGGCGTTCCATGGCCACCTCGACATCGTCAGGAAGCTCCTCCGCTTGGGTGTAAGGCCTGCCATCCCTATGTTCCAGCCGGATGGGTCGACCCGTGTTGCTTTGGATGTGGCGGCGCAAAAGGGACACTCAGAGGTAGTCCGTGAGCTGATCCAGCACCGCGGGATCAAGGCGTGTGCGGGGGCTACGGGCGGGGCAATAGCTCTCAATCTGGCCACGAAGAATCAGCACGTCGACACCATGAGGCTGTTGCTGGTCGCGGGAGTCGTGGACACGGGCATGTCGTTGTTCACGGCCGCCACCCTTGGCCGCGAGCGAGCAGTCAAACTTCTCCTGCAGCAAAAGTGGGCCACTCGTGGAGATAGATATATCGACAGCCGTAATGAATGTCATTGCACACCCCTCTTCGTTGCCGTCTCCGCCGCGGCGCCGAGGGTCGTGCGGCTGCTGCTTGATGCCGGGGCAAACGAGAAGTTGACCAGACCCTTGTCGTATTCGTTCAATGGAAGGATGAAGAACGAGACGCTCCTGGGGCTCGCGGACAACAACCTCCGTTATGAGGTGCTCGACGGCAGACGCGCGACGAAAGTGGAAACGAATCGTCTGGAGGAAGCCCGGCGCTTGCTGTTGCGAGTGGAAGCCGTTCGCGCGGTATCCTGGCTCTGGGGCACTACCAGCCCTGCGTACGCCGCCCCACTGGGGACTGGTGGCAACAGAGACGCCAGCGGAGGGGCATCGCGGCTGGGAGTCCATATCGCGAGGCGCGAAACCAGAGCGCACAGCAGTGGCGCTCTCTTGGCGACCCTGTTCAGGTATGCTTACACCAGATCAGGGATGCCCATGTTGACATGGACCGCCTGAGGTATGACCGGGCGGGTTTACCAACGCGTAGATGTATCACGGTCCACTCTGCGGTGTTCTCTATTGCCGTCTAAGTGGCACCTTCCCTGGCCGGGCAAATATTTTGTATCCTTGAGCCTGCCAAATCGTCCGGTGGCTTCGGTCTGAAGTTATATTATGTCCCTTCGCAGCGTTTGATCTACGATGTGCTTTCTAACCACGTACCCGTCGTGAGTTCTATGTTTGTATTCGACGGGCGGGCATGATGTGATGTATGTATTGTATTTTCTCCACAACAGAAACCATGTATCATCTGCACGCACTGCAGCAGTCCAACTAACTGGGGCAGGGAAGAAAAAGGGCGTAATTTACCGCCTTGCATGCTTCTTTGGTTCGTCATTGTTTCGGGCCCGCTTCATCCAGGTACTCGGTCAAGACTTGAACCGGCCCGTTTCAATGGATTGTAGGAGCTGGTTTTCTCCCAGGGATTATCGATCGTGGTGACGGGCGAACGTCCAAATCTTCAACGCCCTGCAGTACCTGCATGCAAGCTGGTGTCCATGCACTGGAACGCGGGGTGTAGGTTGCACTTTTTGCCTCCGGCCACCGTGTGGATGGACAGCTAGAGTCGGGAAGGATGTACTTCGCTCAGACCGCGAGTTGTGTTTGGCAAGCTACAGCAACAGGCCAACCCCCGATGTCTTGATTTAATTTCTTCCGGAGACCCCTGGTGGTGTAACAGCGGTGGCTGGACAACCGCTGCAGGCAATACAAGGAAGCCGCGATGGCATACGTGGAGGGCTGGGTCAATTCTCAGCTGTTGCTGCGACCAACTTCATTGTAAGGGTCAGTGTGGGCATTTAGCGTATCCTTGTGTAGACCTCAGCTAGCCGCATGTAGATGGGGGGAACCGTTCGGGGCTAACCAACCAGCCAATTTCGATTCCCCAGAGACAAGAACAACAGGCACAAGAATCTACGCCATTTTTTAGCCGGGATAGGATCCCCAGTTTGCAGTTGGGAAATGACCCGAACTGCTTTCGTTTTGGCCTGCGCAGTGATAGAAAAACATGTCTTTACACCGGTATCAGTAGAGAAGTGGGAAACATGAGAGACCCCGTTGAGAGTGAATTATCTATGTTTTACGGCGACAACGGCCAACACGTGCCACGTGCGTTGGATACGGGTATGAACGACGAATCCCTGTAATCGAAAGTGTGATAGAGGGCGGTATGTTTGTTGACACATGAGACAGAAGGCTCCACTCACAACAATTAACGAAGAGTTAGCGTCTACGAAGATTGCGAGGGGTCGAGACGTTGGCTGTTTTCAAGCCAGGACAGAGTGCCCACGATACTCGAAAACGAGGTGCGACGAGAGAGAGAGAGCAAACGCGATGGCTCTTGCGGCCAACGATACCATCACGATTACAAAGTCGTGCTTGTTGGTCTGCTTAGGATCGAAAACGAGGATGCCCTAACGCGAATATCCTCGTCCTTGCCTCGACCATGGCCGATCCACCGAAGACTGAGGCGAACCAAAGTAAAGTAAGGAGGTAACCATGCAGATGAAGTCGAGCGACGACATCACACTTCGCCATTAGTGGCCACCGCACTGCAGGCGTAGAAAAAAAAAAATCAAGGAGAATTGATCCAGCAAGGCTGCCTCGAGAAAAGCAACGAACCACCGCCTCCTTGCCTGGGGGGGGAAATCCCTCGCCACTCGCAGTACGCCAATCGCTATATCTACGATCGTTTGGCTCGTTGTTCCTTCCGTTCGTACAAAAATCACGATCGAGTGCAACCACCGCAGCGAATGGCCGGGGGGTAGTTTCGATAACCTCCGGCCCCCACACTCCTCCAGCGCCTTTCTGCTCTCTACCCAAGACGACAAGGGCACCGCACGCCGACCGGAATAAGGATTCTCAGGTCAAATCTTACCCCTAGTTTTCACGCTTTTCGTTGTCTTTCCCATAGTCGCAATGCCTAGAAGTTGGACAATCACGTTTCTTCGTAGCCGCGTCGCCGATACTAGCCCGTGTGCATGATCCAGCCCTCTGCCCCAGTTTTTGCCTGCCCACCCACCTGAGGAGTTTATTCGTTCCTCGAAACAATATTAAAGGGAAAGCAAGCGCCTTCCCACCCCCTCTGCACACCCACTCCCACCGCACACCCCAAAGAATAAAACGGTTAATAAAAGACCCAGGGCACCTTAACAAACACCCAACACAAACGCACACCACCACGTACACAAACCTCACCTACTACATTTCTTGTTTTCACTTTTTCCTGGCGGAAGACGGCCATCCCGACAGAACCACCTAGCGACCTCGCCGCCGATTCTCGTGCTGCACGCCAAAGTCCCACTAGCGGCAGCAAAAAGAACATCAAAGAAAGAAAAACAGCAGTCGGCATAGTTTTTTCGTCTTTCCAAGACAAACCAAAGAGCTGAATCCTTTTGCTGCCGCCCTCGTCTGTGTTGTAAAAAAAGTCACCAAACCTTTTTAGCCCTATCGCCCCATCTGCCGCAACCACGCTACTTCCGCCCACTCCCCCCGCCTGCGGCAGACGTTCCCTTGCCCCCTAGCGCTTGTGCTGTCCAGGCCGCCGTCGTCGTCGTTGCAGACGCCCGACGCTGCCATTTATCGGTCCCACCGCAACTATTGCGGTCACCGCCCTCATCCCCTTGTCGATCGCGACCTTCATTCCGCCCTCCCTCTCTCCGGCCTCGCCATGTCCGCGAAGTCCTCGGATTCGTCATCCATCACGCATGCCGCGGTCGGCGCAGTTACTGCTTCGACCCCCACAGCCAGCACGGCCCTCGCCGTCGCCAAACACCACGCAACGCCAATCCAGCCCTCGCTGCCGCCGCCGCCTCTTATGCTTTGCATTGTACGGCCGGCAATGTGCTCTGGCGCGTGAGCGTTGCTTCCTCCTCTTTCGTTTTTGGAACCGACCCCGTCTTAAAAATTGGATTTCATGTAGAACCCGTGCGCATCGCAGCTAACTGTTTCTTCTGCCTTTTAGAGCGGTTAGACGCCCTTGTACGGCCGGCAATGTGCTCTGGCGCGTGAGCGTTGCTTCCTCCTCTTTCGTTTTTGGAACCGACCCCGTCTTAAAAATTGGATTTCATCTAGAACCCGTGCGCATCGCAGCTAACTGTTTCTTCTGTCTTTTAGAGCGGGTAGACGCTCTGGCCCGTCGACGGGTTATAAAAGTATCGCCGCCCGGAGCGGTCGAACATCGGCTGCCAACCCGGGGGAGCCGCAAACTGCTGCTGCTGCTGCTGCGGCTGCTGCAGCTGCTGTTGCTGTGGCAGCTGCGGCATCATCTGGGGCACCTGGGGAACCTGCGGAACCATCGGCGGGATCTGTCCCATTGGCGCGGGTATCTGCGGCTGGGTCACGTAGCCCATCGGCACCTGAGAGGAACACAGGGGGCATTTGATGGCATGCAGTATACTCGTTGTCGGTATTATTTTTCCTACCTATATAATAGCCGGTCGCCCCGGTGGTCTCGTGGTAACCTCGAAACCGCTAGTCGCAGATATCGTGAGTTCGAATCCCCACGGGGTGAAAAATTGCAAATTTGGGGGTGACAGCGAAAAAAAAAGCCGAAAAAACTCTCGTGAGTACCAAAACTTCGGCGTTAGCAACGTCGACGAGGAAAGGGGACGGCTGGACCCTGCTCGCGATAAAAATAAATTCAGCACGCACCGCAGGAGGAAGGTAGGGCACGAGAATAAAATTGATTCTGTCGAAGAAAATAGCCCCTGTGTTTACCCCCTCATGTGTGACCCTGTATGGTTGTAGTTGTACGAAAAAACACACTGAAAATACTCCGTAGTACTCTACATACCCTGAAAAGTACACGTCTCACCACGAAAATGGGGGGAATGTCGCCATAATAAATAGGACGAAAACAGAACACATGCATCGGGGGAGCACGTCCTAGGCATGAAAGTTTTACACAAAAGAGATTGCAATTTCTCCTCGACCCTCAGTCCTGTCAGCGTCATTCGATTGTCGCCGAAACTGCTGTGTTGGACGCGTTCCACTGTATCCTGCCCCAGAAACTTGTGCGACGGAGACGAGCGATCACCTACTACCAACTCAAGCAGAAATACACACAAAAAAGGCCAGCCGGTCAGCGGGTCGAAGCTAATAAGAAATACACACACAAACATACACACACACCTGCATCGGCGGCTGCTGGTACACTTGCGGCTGCACAGGCACCTGCGGCTGCACAGGCACCTGCGGCTGCGGGGCCATCATGGGGTTGGCGGCGTTGTAGGCGCCGTACATCTGGTAGGTCGTTTGCCTCGTGCTCGGGTTGTACCTGACAAGATTGATCCAGAACGGTGAGTAGACCAAACAGTGGCGCTTCCGCCAATTAGCACACACACACACCACGCGCTTCCTGCCAGTACACACAACTACATGCTTTGTGCGGTGGCAAAAACCCTAACCCTAACCCTAAGTAAGCAGGACCATCATACAGTTGGTGTTATGCAAAGTCATACCAGTCACTGCTTCTCCTCCAAGCGTGACCTGCAAGCAATAACGGATCCCCGAAATCGGTCGTAGTTACGGGCACAGCTGCTGTAATTCCACCAGAAGAGAAGCGCATTCTCCGGAGATGAGCAGGACCGAGGGTTCCTCGACAAAGTTGCCGTTAGGTGCCTCTGACATCGCGAAGGGGCTAGACGTTCCGTCTCCGGTGTCTTAACAACGGGCCACGACTGTTGTGCGCCGGAGGGTTTTAGGATCGTTCCTAAAATAGGCCCCTGCGGCGAGCCCGCCCCGCCCCATGGGTATCGAGGTTGCCCTTGTCAGCTAAGCTAAGCGTAGATCTTGTCTCTTGACCTTTATCACAACATCACACGTGCTTCCACTCTGGTAAGGCTCCATGCTGGGCATCGCGGTCGTGTCACGCGACTTCCGTGTCCAGGGACACGTGGAACAGCGTCCAATTTAGAGTTGAACTACCTGATCCATGCTAGCAGACGCATCGTGGAGTGATATCATTCTGGTACTCGTCGCTGGTGGTCGGTGGTTATATCGCACGAACGGTACTGCACAACATACATTCACTGTCAGCAACTGAGTCGAAGGTGTCAAGTTCGTCACAACCCCAACAGGAAAGCTTGGCAAGAGAAAATGATCAGGAGGTGGTGCTAGAAGTAGAGGTGACGGCTTCGTAGGATGAGCGCAACATGTTCAACGCACACGTTTCGTGGTGTGCATCTTCGTCTGGAATAGTTGGCGCGTGACCACATCGATCATCTTGCCGGCCTCATGACCGCCAAAGATACGACGTTTGGAGAAGCCAACCCGATTAGCTTTTACAAAGTAGAGTCTGCTCCAGGCACAAAAAGGCAACAACGGCAAAATCAACAGCATTGGCTACAAATAGCGGCAAGATCAACCGCCACAGCAGAAGCAGCAGCAGAAGCAGCACCACCACCACCAGCACCACCAACAATCATATCACTACCGTCATCAACAACGGCAGCTATCATAACAACCCCAACAGCAGCAGCAGCAGCAGCAGCAGCAGCCGCAGGAGAAGCAGCAGCAACCATGACATCACCACAGTCATCAATAACGGAAGCAACAATAACAACTACAGCAGCGGCAGCAGCAGCAGCAGCAACAAGGTCACCACCGCTATCAACAACGGCAGCAACAACAACAGCAACAGCAACAGCAGTAGCAGCATTAGACTCACCAGCCCTGTCGCCCCATCTGGTCCGAAAAGGGGATCCACTGGCCGGTGTAGACCCCCGCCATGATAACGTTCGCCTAAACGGGCAAACGACGACAAGCAAGACATCGCCACGAGAGAGGGTGGGGGGGGGNGGGGGGGGGGGGGGGGGGGGGGTGAGAGAGGGACAGAGGGAGAGAGAGGGGGAACAAAGCAATGCAAAGCGGGTATGCTGCGACGTGAACAACATCAAAGGCTCTCTCACGCTCGACCTGACCCATGAGCTTCCAACCCGTCTCGTTTCGATTTTTTCTTTTTTTTTTTGTGCGACTTCTGTGGAGGCCTGTCCAAAACGGTTCGCCTTGCACGAGCTCCAGAGCACGTATTTGCTAGGGTGTGTTTAGTACAGTACAGTACTTTTATTCCAGTATTGAAGTCCGTGTTGTCAGTACAGTACATTCCAGTATCGGGAGCTGTCCTAAAAGTACTGAAACTTTCATTCCAAGTATCGAGAGCTGTNACTGGACACGGCAGTAGGACGTAGTCGTGTACTTGCAGCAGGAGTGGGACTGTAGGACTAGACCAATTGGACGAGGCTGTGCCGCATTTGTGCCAGAAGATGACGTCACCAACACGCCCTTCGGGGGATTTCGGGTAGATACCGGGCAGATAAGGGCAGTCGTACGACCCCTACCGTCCAGTATCGACACCCGTACTAAAGCGTGCAGTACGTTTTTTCTAGTATTGAAGTCCGTACTAAAGCAGCCAGTACAGTACAGTATCGAAAGCTTCACTAAAAGTACTGAAACTTTCATTCCAGTATCGAGAGCTGTACTAAAAGTACTGAAACTTTTATTCCAGTATCGAGAGCTGTACTAAAACAGCCAGTGTATTCCAGTATGCCTCG